ACCTGGTCTACTTAAGTGAGTTCTAGGACATACAGAGAGAATATCTCAAAAAAAAAAAAATCAAGGTGCATCTCGAGTTAACTGAATTGTAAGCACTACTACACACATCCTGAAATGTAAACACATAGACATTTCTTATATTTGCTACTGAGCCATTTAAATTAAACCTGACCATGGTAAGTAAAGCAACTGATTTATAATATAAGAATATAGTCTGATTTATTTCTATTCTTCCTTCTGGGAAAAAACCTACTAGTGCAAAACAAGAGTCTGATCTCATCGGCCGAAATAATAGTCATGGCTACTGAAAGAAAAAACAGCAGCTACGTAGTCAAGAAGTTTTTGACCCTGTCTGTAGACAGCTGAGAAGCAGCCACGCAGACACATTCCAGTGCAGCTTCCATTCCAGTGTCAGGTTAGAAGGCTATCGACTCTGGCATCTCCAAGCTGGGGGATAAACCAAAGGGGCAGCATGGCTCTGCAAATAGTGTGGAGTGAACATTCACTGAAACATGAGGGAAAGCAGTCACTTCCTCTTTCCCAGTGAGGACAGGACTGGCTGCCTCTGAGATTCCTGGTGACAAGTAGGGATGTGGACAGCCTAGAATAACGAGGGCATATATCTGCCTTTGTTTCAGCCCAAATATTGGAAATGGGAACTCATTTTTTTCACCAAAGGGTCCAACATTGTGACTCCCATTGCTTTATTATTTAGGATTGAATGATTCAGCCTTGATACCAGGCCAGCCAGGGATGGAATAGATCCCCAACCAAGGCAAGTTGTTATGATGTGTTTGTTTGTGTTCTTGAAGCAACTGAGGAGACTGCAGGAATAGCAATAGCAAGGAAGACTGGGAGCTGAAACATAATCTCCAGGAGACCTTCTGAAGTGATCCTTTTCTTCACTTTATGGGAGTATGTGAGAAGCCACAATTAGTGTATGCTTTAATTTTGGTATTATTTCCTAATGATCAGGTGACTTAGGAAGTGGATCCAAACAGCAACCTAACACTGGGGACTCTAGGGGGCACTGTAGTACAATACACAGACTACCCGAGCATGAGTTAGCTTTAAAACGATTTTGTATCTGTTTCCCACAGTTTGAACTGGGCTGAGGTGTGGGGAAATAACTCTTCTGTTTAAAAAGTAATATCCCAAGACAAGACTTAACAGAAAGAAAATGAACTCTAAGCTCCTACGCACGATACGTGAGGTACCAGCATGATACCAGGTGCTAGCGTCTTCTACCTTTGGAGCAAGTGTAGTCAGTCATCCAGCTCCATAGGCTCATCCTTCTGGTGGATAAGCCTATCTCTCCTCCCAGGCTTGGGACCTTTTGTGCTTGTCCCATTACACATCCCTTGCTTCTATGAAAGTCCACCATACTCTGGAACAACACTGAATGTTCATGCATCTACCTACCACTGTGAGCTTCAGGAGGGTGCAGCTAAGCTCTATTTTTCCACTTATTCTCTAGTGCTGAGCACATGACTTTTTCTGAATCTTTCTGAACATGACTGTCCATGAAGCAAAAAAGTGAGGTATGAGGATTTGGCCTAACGGTCCCAAAAGTGAGACCTTATCTGGGCTAAAGGAGGCTATGGCTCAAACCAAGCCTCCTCAGTCTGATACCATACCTCCAGAACCCTTAAATTCTTGTCTGTGGAGCAGCCACAGTATGTAGAAAGGAGAAAATCTCTCCTCCAAACAAGACAAATCATGCAAAAATAAAATCTCATTCCAAGAGGCAGAGTTGTGGCTGGATCATAAGAAGAGACACTCAACTCTGATCCCAAGGATGGCTCTAACATTTGTCCAGGAGATACCCTGAGTCCCCCAGAACCCTTGCTTCTTGGTTCAGAAGCTCTAACCCAGAAGCCTTCACTGAGGCTGCAGGGTGTGCTTAAGTTTCAAACACCATCTTGGCTGGTCCTTTCTATTCCATGGGGTTAGTTAGGGTAGAGTAGAAACCATACAAACCAGGAGTCCCCACCACCACAGCTATCTCTCAATGCTACTTTCCTAGGCCAACCCATTCCTCTACTTCCCCAGGTTATTTCTGAGCATTTGTCCTTCAAACCCCTTCTTCAGGGCCACAATGTAACACAAAAAAAGGCACGGGGAATCTGCTGTGCCTTGAAATGAAAAGCAGTGCCTAAGCTCAAGCTTTCTTGCTGGAAGGGACAGCAGAGTCAAGGGACAGTCCAGAGTATGTTAAAGAGTTCAGGCAAAGGAGAGGTATTGGTATCAGGCTAGCAAGTCTTGACACAGCAAGAAGACAGGCAAGAGAAACTGGATCAGCCAGGAATGTTCCTAAATAGTCCCTAAGTGTGAGAAGCCATCAGAAATATTGGGCCCTTCCTAAGGAGATTATACTACCCCAAAATCAAGCACCACTTTAAAACATGCAGGAGGAAGATGGAGACAGATGAGGAAGCTGCCAGCAGAGCAGGGAATGTATCTCCTTCTAGTCAAGGGTGTAATCTAGTGTTGAAATGCGTTCCTATTAGAAATATTCTCTGTGGGTCCTGGGGCAGAAGGAAGAGTTCATGGAAAACACATAAACTCTTGAAGGAAAAAAAGGGGGGAGGAAGGGGAAAAGGAGGAGAGCAGAGAATGAAAGAGAGGGGGGGGTACAGACAGACAGACAGAGCAATCCAGCATCCTCAGAGGATAGGAGAAACATCACCCAAATCACCATCAAACTTCTAGTCTGTGGAGTATCTTCATTAGATAGGTGGAGGAGGAGATGTGGTGAGCAGATACCGAAAGGAGGTCAGGGGGCCAGAAGCCCCTAGAGACGGAGGAGTCAAAGCAGAGCCAGAGTGGGAGGAGTCAGGCTGTGAGCCTCCAGGAGCAGCCGCTGAGTTTGGCAAAGCATCCTTAGGGGAGTACTCCTGTGAACCTCCGCAGAAATAGGAGGGGCCGAAGTTGTAGGAGGTGGGGAGAAGGGGAAGGGATTTTTAAGAATGGGAAGTCTTAGACAAAGTAGTGTGATCCCAGCACCCAAGCTCTCTGAGGCAGACTCTCACTTGACAGATGTGGGAAGGCCTTCAAGTCTGCATTTCTAACAAGCTGTCAATGCTCCTGATCCAGGAACCATACTATGAGGGGCAGGGTTAGAGTCAGTTAAAGGGATGCGGAGGCTGATTGGAAAAGAATTCCTTTTTAGAGACCCACTTTTGATAATTCCACCTGAGGTAAAAACTGAGACCTTGAGAAGTCTGGGTGGGACTGGCAGTATCCCTTCCTCCTCTTTCAGAGGTGACAGGTGATGAAAAATGGGACATAAAGGAGAAGGAATAGTGACGAACAAAGAGGTCAGAAGAGGCAGGGGAATTCTGGGGAGAGAGAAGACCCAAAGATGGAGGTCTGAGAGTGCAAGCAGATGGCAAGGGCAAGGCCATCATATATTCCCTCTTTGCTTTTCTTCAGGAAGCTGCTGGATGTGATCCAAGGTTTACTGATAGCAAAGAGAAGGCTGTAACACAAAGTCAAAGGCCAGATGATTTCTGTGCAGAAATAAAAGATGAATGGAATAGAAAGGAGGCTGGGGAAAAAGGAGGTCAGCTGGGCTCTTAACCCTAAGCCCGAGTCCAACTTGCCATCAGAAGTCAGGAGGTTTCTCAAAAGCGCGGTTGGGAATGTAAACTTGAGTTTAGGTAATCTAAGGACAGGAATAAGGATGAGAGAGAGGTGCAGGGCTAATGGAGCTCACTGTTCTGGGGCCACAACCTACCACACACTGAGAGACTCTAGAGCCCTAAGCCGCAGAGGTTAAGTCGAGGTCAGGTTCACTGAGGGAAGTGTCGGGAGGGCCAGTGAAATGCCAGAAGGTACCAAATGAGCAGCGGCTCCCGGAATGAAGCCTTGGTCGAGGAGAGGGTGGCACATACTTGGGGGGAGGAGATGGGGTCAAAAAGATACTGGAGCTTCTTCTGGTGGCGACCTGGAGGCCGTGGTGGTTCCCGAGCGCGGTGTGATGAGCTGAACTGCTTGGGCCGGGGTCCCTCGCCGCACAGTTCCCAGCCC